TTGTCAGTTGGTTTGGCTTGGTCTTCTGAGACAGGAAAACACTGTGTAACCCTGCTAGCCTTGACTTCCTTAATAGACCAAGCTGGCCTTGAATTGGAGGCAACTCTCCTGCTTCTGACTCCTGAGTGCTGGGATTCAAGGCCAGGCATTTTCAACATGGCTTTTTAATCACTTTTCTTTTTACATTTCCTATTGTTTTTGTCAACCTATATTTTTAAAAACCAATGTACTTTGACATGAATATAGACTTCTCATTTCAAAATATGATTTTAAAAAATGTACTAAGTAGTCTTAGGTTTGTATTAAAATGTACTGGAGAGGCTGGAGAGATGGCTCAGTAGCTAAGGGTGCTTACTGCCTCTTTCAGATGACCGGAGTACAATGCACAGAAATCAACTTGGGTGGCTCACAACTGTCTATAATTCCAGCCCCAGGGTATCTGACGCCCTCTCTGGCTTTCATGGGCACTCACACATGTGTATGTATGCACACATGTACACACACACATACACATAAAATGTAAGTCTTTAAAATAAAATATACTGGATAATTTTCTCAGGAACCTCAGTGCCAATATGGCTAGTCAAAGAATGTTCAAGCTGGTAAGCAAGTTCATAGTCCATTTCTATTAAATGCCTAAAATGTAAATGAGTGACCACTGGATAAAATTATGACCTTGTTAGTCAGGTCTGGTAGCATATGCCCATAATGCCAGGATTTGGGGAGTGGAGGCAGAAGGATCGTGAATTCAAGGTTATACTCAACTACATGGTGAGTTCGAGGCCACCCTGGACCTACCTTGAACAAAACAACAAAGAATAAACAAATAGAAAATACATAAAATATGACTTGTTATGAATATTTATAATAGTCTCACTGGCTTGCCTAAATTTTTATTTAAGTATTGTGACATTTGTCTTAGACTATGAGTTCCTGGTGGGAAATTCAGCTAATGTACAAAAACTATTTTTGTGGCAATATTTGAATTATATACATTGTATCTTCTACATGAAATTTTGATTTATTGAACTACAACTATCAATAATTAACTCATTTTATAAAAGAAGAAAGTGAAACAAAATGAAGGAAATTGGGTTGTGCCGAGACTTAAAGTGATCTTGTCATCGAATTTGAAGGGCAAAACAGATTGTTATTTAGACAGCCAATCGATATCATTTTATAGATTCTGATGGCTCCAACACAAAGAGTTCCACAGCAAGCACAGCTTTGTAACTAAATGAAAATTCAAATAGGGGAAAAAAGTTTGTTCATTTATTTTTGCTAGATATGTGGTTCAGTGACATGTGTCAGGCTCTGGCTTCAGTCTTTAGCACCAGCCACACAATTATGATGGAGGAAAGGAGGAGGAGGAGAAGGAGAAGGAATGAGAAGGAGAACAACAACAAGAAGGAAAAGGAGGACAGGAAGAAGTTCAGACAAGAGCAGTTTTCAAAGTACACAAGACATGTATTATTGAGGTTGACTGAAGTCTTAAAACTAAGCTTTCTCTTGTTGCTCAGTCATAATTAACCTCACTAGGAGAATGTTTATAGGTTGGTGAGATGGCTCAGCAGGAAGAGAGCTTTCACCAATCCCTAGGACCTGAGTTCAATCCACAGAACCCAAACAGTAAAAAGAGGGAACTAACTTCTGCAGGATGTCCTCTGACCTCCACTGTGGCACAAGAGTGTATACACACACACACACACACACACACACACACACACACACACACGATAGATTAAATGGATAGATGGATAGTTATATATATATATGTGTGTGTGTGTGTGTGTGTGTGTGTGTGCAAAAAAAAAGGAACTATCCAGGTGTGGTGGTGCACACCTTTAATCCCAGCATTGGGGGGCAGAGGCAGATGGATCTCTGTGAGTTTGAAACCAGCCTGGCCTACAAAACAAGTTCTAGGACAGCCAGGACTGGTTACTCAAAGAAACCCTGTCTCCAAAACAAAAAAACCAAAACAAAAAAACCAAAACAACAAAAACAGGAAAAAAAAAAAAAAGGAATTGTTCCATTGGTGCAACTCTCAGACAAGCCAGGGTATGAAGAAGACTCAGCCTAGCCAAGCTGTCTGGAAGAGGCTCATACCAACTAAGACACCTGGAAAGGACACTCCCCAACCTCTTGAGCTGCCTGTAGGCTGTGAAGTGTGCTCCAGGTTCCCAGGTTTTGTGAGCTGTCATCCATGCTGGGGTGGGCTTTGGTGGTGCAGCTGTGTTTGAGTCTTTTCTGCTCCTGTAAGTGACCCCAATAAAACTCATTTTTCACCAAGTTGGACTTTAGTGGTATCCATACTTTAGTCTGTCATGAGCTCCCTATCTGGGGGAGTAGACATGTGTCACATGTAGTGTCTCCTCAGGAGAAGTTTTGTCACACACAGATGAATCACTGAGGAGGGCGACTGTGAACCAACAGTGTGAGATGAATGTGTAATGGAAGAATCCACATTATCATTATAAACACACTGCATTTTCCTCTGTGCACTAGTCTAGTAGTGTGCTTGTGCTCACTGGTCTCCCGAAATCTTGCAATGAGAAAGTAACACACACTGATGGAGATGATGGGCTCTGAGGTGTGTGTAAGTCTAAGGAAGTAAAGGGCATGTTCTGAAATAGGTGTCAATGACTACACAATGCAGTGACTATGCTAAAAACTGCTGACCTGTACACGGTAAAAGGATACATTTTAGGATATGTGAACGATATCTCAATAAAGTTTGGGGCCAACCTGGTCTACATAGCGAGACCCTGTCTCAAAAACAAAAGCCAAGCTTCTGCCAGTTTCTTGCATACCCCTATTCTTTTTGTGCTGTCCAGGTAGCACCTTGGGTAGACCAGTTGTCTCCACCCATCACACCAGCTTCTGAAATACAGACAGTTAAGAAACTAATCAAATGACCAGTAGAAGATGCCCCTCCCTCACACCACATCTGTAGTAGAAGAAGCAGGACTATGGGGCTCTCTGGCTGAACGCCCCTCAGTGTACTTTCTGATGAGCAATGGTCCCATCATTGTCCTGTGTCAAATGTGATGGTGGTACTGTCATCCTAAGAATCTGTAAGACGTGGCCTGTATTCAGGCTGTGCTGAGCTCCGGAATGATTTTCTCTTTTCAACACATTTCCAGACCACATTTCTAACATCCATCCTTTGCTTCTCCTTAGGAAATTGGTTCAACTCCCAAGTTCCGTTCATTTCTGACATTTGGCCACCATGCCCTGAGTCCTGTGGTTTTTGATTAATATCTGTTAAACCCGAACTGTAGGGTGAGTCTCTGAATGTGTAGTTCACATTTTACAAAACTAACTGCTACATTACGGTTGGTTGTTCTCTATGGCTCCATCTAGGTTCATGCCCGGTCACGTGATTACACTCGAGCCTGACCTTAACTCACAGGAATTAAAAAACAAACAAAACCGAAACAAAACAAAAAACTTTAAAGCATTATTTTTATATTAAAACGTGATTTTTATATTTATTAAAGCTGGGTTTTGCTGGGTAGGGTGGCACACATCTTTTAGTCCCAGCACTTGGGAGGCAGAAGCTAGGGGAAATCTCTGTGAGGCCAGCCTGACCTTTATAGTGAGTTTCAGGACAGCCAGGGCCACATAGAGAAACTCTGTCTCAAAAACCCAAAAAATAAAAATTTAAAAAAAAGTAAAGTTGGCTTTTAAAGAAAATCTTATGTATACTGAAAATGGTACAACAAAATATGAAGTCGGTAACTAAAATTTTAGTAAAAGTAATTCCGTCTGGGCTAAAGAAACAGATCAGTGGATAAAGTGCCTACTATGTAAGTATGAGGACCAGAGTTTAGATCTCCAGCACGCACATAAAAGCTTGAGTGGGAGTACATGAGCTTCAAGTTCAACAGAGACCCTGCCTCAGAATATGAAACACATCAGTTAAGGAAGACACCCAAGGTTAACCTCCAGCTTGTGTACACACACACACACACACACACACACACACACACACACACACACTAATACTAAATAAATAAATAAAACTTAGTACCATCACTCAGCACTTAGTTCCTGAAAATGTTAAGACTCAGTGAGACAGAGCTAGTGAGACAATAAGTGGTACCAGAAATGGACTGATTCTTAAAAGGTCATGGTGCCAAACGATTCATAATGCATTCCATAAGTGTGATGCAAAACTCTGCAATTCTCCAAGAAAGCGAAAACCCCAGTGTCTCCTCAGTCGAGATAAGGAACACTCAGGATGCTGCCACTACCATCCTTAACCAGAGCACGGAGAAGAGACGGAGACCTGCACTGCACACGCCCACTCTGAGTGTTTGAAGTTTCAAAAACATTGCAACTTCGAATCTTTTACAAATGTGTTCTAATCTCATCCTTTATTTTTAATTTTGCACACAGCTGTCTGGCGTGCTTTTTAGAATCATGCCAGATGCTGGGTTCATCAAGAAAAGGCAGGAAAACAATGGCTGGAAAGCAATTAGAAGCATCAAGGCTGCAGCAAGGCTCATATTAAAATGTGATGGCACTGTTCTAGTGGGAATTCCAACACGGCTCCACTTCTGACATTTCTCTGCTGCCAGACAGTCTGTGTGGAAGGGCACGGTGATGGAGGATAGAACACACTAGAATTTATTTCTGGGGCAAATGAAGGATTAGCCCAGTTGGAACCCACCCAAGGATTTTATTATGGTCTTGGCCACCACGCTATTTGAATGTTGCGGGATCCCGTTGGCATCTACCGAAACTCAAGGAATGAAGGCATATTATTGCTCTGGTTCAGTAAAATAATTCAGCAGCCATTCAAGGCATGGTGCCTCTTGTTGCTGAAATAGCAGATCAGAGGGGGCCCAGTGGGGTGAAGGTTAATTAAACAGTCCACTGACTTTGCTCAGGAATGGCTAGTGCTGCTCTGTGGAGAGACTCAGAAGCCACAATAAAATCATCTACACATTCTAATATAAAATTTAATATAAGACTTATGGTCAAGGAGTACTCACCTTGAGGTTGAAAATCCCAACAGTACCTAGAATACAAGAGGGAAGAGTGGAGATCAGTCAAATTTGAATGTTTCAATTGCGGTTCATAATGATGCCTGTATAACTAGTCCTTTTTAAAAAAGCTAAACAGTTGATCATCAGCTAGAGCTTGCCTTTGTTTAAGAAAAGCAAGTTGTCTTCAGTGTTTTCAAGATTCTTAATGGCTTAAAAGCTGCATCAATGTGCTGCAAAACAAGCCAAGTACCTTTTAAAACTGGGGATGAGGGGCTGGAGAGATGGTGCAGTGGTTAATAGCGCTGGCTGCTCTCCCAGGGGTCCTGAGTTCAATTCCCAGCAAACCACATAGTGACTCACAACCTTCTCATAATGAGATCTGGTGCCCTCTCCTGGTGTGCAGACATAATACTACCATATACATAATAAATAAATTGTAAAACTGGGGGTAGGGGCTAGAGAGAAGGCTCAGTGGTTAAGAGCACTGGCTGCTCTTCCAGAGGACCTGGGTTCAATTCCCAGCACCCATTGGCAGCTCAAACCTGTTTGTAACTCTGGACTTCTGACACCCCACACAGATATACATGCAGGCAAAACACCAATGAACATAAAATAAAAATAAGTTAAATTTTTTTAAAAAGCTGGTCATAACTAGGAAGGAAGCTCTTGGTGGCTCACGGTTTGAGCAAGACGGCTTTTTATTGAGACAGCTGCCCTGTGGATCACAGTGCCATTAGCACCACTGGCCTGGGCAGCAAACACCAGTGATGCTCCTATTGTTAGAACAACCCAAACTCAGGTAACAAGAACAAAACCTCAGCTGACTCCTAAAGGGAACAGGTGGGACTGGGACGGGTTGCCTCACATTGTAGAGGATGAGCCAAGAAATGAACCAGGCCCATGAAATCCACAGTACCTCCTCCTCTACTCTCACTTTGTGAAATGATTGGCAGAACTGACAACCCCTGAGGTCTTAAGTACAGAAGAGCCATGATGGAAAGGTTCACCTGTAAATCACATCTATGGAACCTGACTTTCCCCTCTACCCCCCACACACAAACAATGTCGCTCATGGTGGTTACCCACAAAAGCCTGTTTAGTGCCTCCACAGGAAACTTACATCATTCCGTATTGATTTTCCTCTAGGGTATGTCCACTTTCTTCCTCTCAACTGGCCCTTCCCATCAGCATGTTTGCTCTCATAAAATGAAGCACCCCCACCCACCCCTTCAATCTCTCCATCTCCTGTCCCATTTTCTTCATGGCAGAGTGCAATATTCAAAAGCTTTCTCTCCTCATGTCCTCGTCTCCTCTTCCCTGGTGTACTCCGTGAGGCTCATGGTGACTAGACCTTAATCCTTTGAACAGGCGTAAAGCCTTCCACTCCACTAAGTAGGACGGATGGTTTTCTATTCTCATCTTGGCCTCTTGGGAATTTGTATCTGAGGCTTTCTCGGAGGAAAAGTACATGTTTTTAATTGAATTCTTAATCAAACCAAGAGGGTCCATAACCACAGAAGGTTCAGGGAAAGGCCATACTTGGGGAGCAGTGATGTCTCCCAGTGTCAGCATGACTAAAATTAGCTTTGGCTACATTAGAGAGGAATATCAGCCTAACATCCAGACTGTTCCTCCACCACTCCCCAAACTGTGGAAAATGGAGCAGCGAGAGCTCAGTTGGGGGCGGGGTGGGGGGGTGACTGCATAAAACAAAGGGTTGAGGGAAGTTCTTAGAGAAGAAGAAATCAGAGCCAACAGCAGATCATCTCACACATGAACGATATCCCAACCTCTGCATCTCTCCGTCTTTGCTTGAAGCCTTGCTCTGGCACCCAATTCCTGTCATTATTCACCTTCTAATTAAACATAAGAAGAAACAAAGGGGCTGGAGAAGGCTCAGCAGTTAAAAGCACTGGCTGCTCTTCCAGAGGACGCGGTTTGATTCCCAGCACCCACATGGTGGCTCACAACCATCCATAACTTCAATTTCAAGGGATTAGATTCCTTCTTCTGGCCTCTGTGGGTATCAGGCGTGTATGTGGTACACAGACATACATACATGCAAAATGCCATACACATAAAATAAAAATAAAATAAACAAATAAAAACACATATACACACACTTCTCTTTCCAAAATGTTAATGACAACAATGAAAAGAGCTTTACTAACCAATATTATTTTTTTTCATTTTTTATTTTTGAGACAGGTTTTCTCTGTGTAACAGCCCTGGCTGTCCTGGAACTTTCTCTGTAGACCAGGCTGGCCTTGAACTCACAGAGATCCACCTGCCACTGCCTCCTGAGTGCTAGCATTAAAGGCATGTGCCACCACCTCCCGGCCCAATAGTACTCTTATTTGTTGGTCCAGAGGGAGCTGGGGGAAATCGAGCCTGGGAATAGCAGTGTTTTAAAAGGCTAACTCAGAGCAAATAGTTTAATAAATAAAGCATGTTATTGACGATCTCAGCCTTTTTGTGCCTGTGTGCCTCCTTATCCCACTATTCCCACTCCAACGTCTATTTTCAGTTCCCTCTCTATCAAGTCAAGGTTTCTCAGTTTCTCTTGTTAGTCAAGAAGACAGACCATGCCATAAGTTCACATAGACTTAAGAAGATGCTTCCAGGCGGTGGTGGCTCATTCCTTTAAATCCAACACTCGGGAGGCAGAGGCAGACGAATCTCTGTGAGTTCAAGGCCAGCCTGATCTACAGCTGAGTTCCAGGACAGCCAGGGCTGTTACACAGAGAAACCCTGTCTTGAAAATAAGTAAAATAAATAAATTATAAAGTATTTCTTTAAAAAAAAAAAAGAGTGTGCTTCTGCCAATAGCACCTGTGGAAGGTCCGTTGCAGAGAAACACTCTGTTTAACAGTAATAAATGAAGAAGCCATCTTACATAATTGGTACTGTATGGCAGAATCAACCTTACTCTTGATAACACTGTAATTAAACATCTTTGTCAAACATTCAGCAATTTGTGTAAGTTTGGCAAGGTAATGTTACATATACCTATGACATCAGTTCTCAGGACAGCAAGGAAGGAGGATGCTGAGTTTGAGGCTAGCTCAGCTTCATAGCAAGACCCCGTCTTCAACAACAACAACAACAGGAGAGATGGCTCAGAGGTTAAGAGCACCGGCTGCTCTTCCAGAAGACCTGCTTCAATTCCCAGCAACCACATAATGGCTCATGACTGTCTATAACCCCATCCCAGGGGATCCAATGCCCTCTTCCGGCCTCTGCAGGCACCAGACATGCCCATGGTATACAGACATGCATGCAGGCAAAAACCTCATGCACATAAGCAAATAAAACAATACTTTAAAAATTTAAACACAAGCCGGGCATTGGTGGCGCACACCTTTAATCCCAGCACTCGGGAGGCAGAGGCAGAGGCAGAGGCAGGCGGATCTCTGTGAGTTCAAGGCCAGCCTGGTGTCCAGAGCGAGTGCCAGGATAGGCTCCAAAACTACACAGAGAAACCCTGTCTCAAAAAACAAAAACAAAAACAAATTTAAACACGAGTAACAACGAAACCAAAAAGATGAATAAGTTCCAAGGACCTAATCGGTGTGTAGTACGCGCCTCTAGTTAACAAAACCACATTAGATACCTGAAAGCGGTCTAGAATAGGTGTGGCATATTCTCAGAGTCAAAGCAACTTCAGACGGGAGGCGGTGGGTGCGCTAATTGAAATGTAACCATTTCACAATTCAAATGTGGATATTAAATCATCAGCTTGAGCATTTTAAATATATGTAACATTGATTATTAATTTTTAAAAGTCTAGTGAAACTCGTGTTGAATTTGGTGGGGGGTGAACATTACTCCCTTTCTTTTCTATCAACTTACCTCCCACAGAGGACATTTCTGTTTTGTTTAGTTTTTGAGGCTAGTCTCACACCGCCCAGGTTAGCCAAAGATGACCTTCAGCTACTGGTTTTCCTGCCTCCAGTTCCCGAGTGTTGGGATTACAGGTGTGTACTACTATACCCAGTTTTACGCTGCCCTGGGGGATCAACCCCAGGGCCTTGATCATGCTAGAGAAGCACTCTACCAACTAAACTATACCTCCGCCCCAGAGGGCACTTCTGAAAGGAAACTATAAAATATCAGCAATGTCAGCCTTCAAGCTTATTCTCTTCTAGGCATATTTGAGGTCTTCATCTTGTCTGGTCACACACACACCCTGTGGCTGGAGAGTCCTGAGCTCTTTGGGAAGCATTCAGTAACGTCCTTCCAACACCTTCTAGTTCCTACACTTCTCTCTAAAAAAACGATCCTCTCTAAGCCACAGAGCACAGCAAATCTGGAGCTAAATGTTTTAAACCAAGATACCAAGACTGCAAAAGAAGTATACAGAAGGAAATACATTATCAGTGCGCACGCAGAGTTACAGCGAGCACACACAGATGCGTCTAGCCCAAAAGCCTCTGAGAATTCCCTATCAGGCCTGTGAGGACAGATAACAGCCACTTGTTTAATCTTCTCTTTGAACCTTCAGCTTCTATAGGAAAGGGAAGCTATCACTCCTCTGCAACGGCCATGCTCGGCCTCACCGGGTCCATGCAAATGGAATTCAGGACTGAAAACACAAGGGTGCAGCGTGAGCAGAAAGATGCTGCTGTGTGGTGTGATTTCTCTTCACACTCAGAACAGACAAGCCCGTCTTCTTGTTTAGCTGGCCTGCAGGGTAGTCTTTTCTTTATTACCATTTTGCATGCAAAAATTAAATTATACGCATGGTTTGGGGCTGGAGATGGCTCAGCAGTTAAGAGCACTGGCTGATTTTCCAAAAGATCCATGTTCAATTCCCAGTACCCACTCGGTGGCTCACAACAATCTGTAACTCCTGTCCTGGGGGATGCAAAATCCTTTGGCCTCTGCTGGCACTAGGCATGCAAGTGGTGCACAGACCTAAATGCAAGCAAATCGTTTGTATGCATATAAAGAAAGTGAATTTAAAATACATGCATAGTAAAGTTTGCTACTCGGATTTTTCAGTTAAAGATACTGGCAATCCACTTTCAGT